CTGTCTTGGGTGTCCCTGCACAGCATAGCCCATAGCTTCTCTGAATTACTCAAGCCCCTTCGCTATGACAAGGCAGCAATCTGTGAATGGGGAACATCTTCTAGAGAGGATCAAAGAGTCCCTGCCTTCAGAGAGTATGTGCAAGAGTTCCATTTGGAAACCAATGGAAGGCTGATAAACAGTGCTGGATTTAACAAGTCTACTCAGTATAAATATCTGAAGGATACAGACAAAAGCAGTGTGTAAATATCTTTTTTGACATTTGATGTGTGAGCCAGAAGAGGTCATATGTCTACTTCTTTAACTTCAGGGTATGGACAGCTTCTTCTTTCATGTACATTCGTTCTTTATAATTGAAGAACAACTGTGCAGTTGTCTTTCAAATAGGCTGGGGTCTAATAAAAACGAGTGGGGAATGTCTGGACAAAAAATGCACTGTTTGGCAGCACTGTTCTAAGACTGTTTTGATGTTCCTGTTGGTCAGATACGGAAGATGCAAGTGAAACTGATCTGGCAAAGCATGATGAGGAAGATTACGTAGAAATGAAGGAACAGTAAGTATTGCTTCCCTCTCTTTAAAAACATTAACTATTTTCTAGATGGAAAATGTCCTGACAAGAGCGAATGAAATTGATGTTTGTGAAAATCCAGAAGGAAAAATGTAAAGAGTCACATTAGCCCTAGATTCCCTTGATAACAGAACTGTTGCAACTTTATAATTTTAAGTTAAGGGATAGAAAAGCCTCTCTTTTGCTCCGTGTGGCCCATATTTACTACCAGCTTTGTGCTCCTGAAAACTCGGAATTCTACTTCTTCAGCGTGTACTCCTCTAACTCCTTCAGCTTCTCTGGCCTCAGTACTCAAATAACACTTCCCTTCCCAGAAGGTTTTCTGTGGTGATCTTAAACATCTGTGCTCTATTGTTTGTTATGTCTGCCATCAGCTTCAACAAAAATGCCATTTAACAGTTCCCGGCAGGGTGTATTTTCCACTCAAATTATTATGTTTTTGCACTACATCTTCCAACCAATCTGGACGTTCTGGGAGCTGTAGTTCAAATTAATTTTTTTCAGATTGTGAGTGTATTTCCATTCAGGAGCTTCCTGCCTTCACTGTCATTATGCTCTGGACCACTGCTCTTCTTGTTTTCTCAACTGCCCTAGAAGGATATCGAACTGCATAACTTTCAGTGTGTAGATGGTCTGTGCTTCTCTATCCTGTACCTTCACCTTTTCTGCCATATCAGTTGATAATACCATCATCCAAATCATGAAGCCCCTCCCTTTAGTCTTATTTGTATTGTATATTCACTCTGCTGTGTCTGTTTATTTAGTCTATTATATTCTGTTTTTCTATTTCGTAATGGCCACTCCCTTCCTTTCTTTCAGCTGAGTTAATTGTCTTGGTCATGCTCAGAAATCTTCCATTCTGTTTTGTCTTCAGTCCTTTGCCTGTTGTTCTGACCAAACCATATGTTTGAATCATTTATCAATTCATCTGATGGTTATACTGAATAACCTATGACAACTTCCTTGCCTTTTTTAATCCCATGTCTACAGTAGACTAGGCTAGCATTTACCCTTCCCTTTCCTCCCATGTGGCTCTGTAGTGATTAAAATCTTTCATTTTAGACTAACTGTAGTTCTGCACATTGACTGAACTCTAAATGGCAGTAAATTTGTAGTAGATTGAAACAAACCAGCTTGATAAAATAGTGTATATTTTAGCAGTCATAACATATTAAATATTACTGTGCTAACAACAACTGTAGTTTGTTGGGCTACTTTGTGCTTTTTGCATTTTTCTGGCTCTGTAATAACTTTTGTGTTCCTGATTTTTCAATGCTTTTAAAAGTTGACAGTTTGATATGTTTCTTATAGTTGTCTTATAGCAATTAGGAATCTCTTTTCATTTCTCCATAACAGCAGTTTGTGTAAATAAGGCATATATACTGTTATGATCCCCAATACCTAAATGTAATTATCGGTACCTCGATGATTAAATCCTTTTGAAGAGGAAAGTATTGTGCTGGGGAGGGGGGACTCTGCTGGAGAAGAGAGACAAGAAAATCATCTGTTTCACTCACCTCTAACTTATTTTTTGTTTGTTAAATCGGTTTCTCCATAACAACTTAATGGAAATTACTCTGTTTCCAGGATGTATCAGGATAAATTGGCATCACTTAAGAGGCAGCTACAGCAATTACAAGAAGGTAGGGTTTAAATATCTTGCACTCTTTTTTTTAATTGAAGAGGAACATTTACTACAGGTTTCAGTGACCTTGACCAGATCAAACTGTTTAGTTCTTGGAAATTGTACCTTCAGGCACATTATCGTCATTAGAAATGGTGTGATGCCGGGTCAGGAAATTCATCCATCTTGTGCTGTATTGTCTGCTGTGAATGGCAATGACTTTTGTATTCTTCATCGGTTTCTTCAGATGCGATAGCTCCCCAACCCCAAAGGGAATGTAAAATAAGGAGAATTGCACTGGAAGCTTTTGGGATCCATGGCTCATATTTAAAACAAAGAAAGCCTCCCTTGTACTTCATTTTGATAAACTAACTGGAGTTCCTGGCACTTTAGAGTCTGTCGTGAGGCAGTTGTGCAATCCACAGCAAGTTTTGGCAGTAAGAAATTGGTCCCTAGTTTCTGCAGAGGTTCTTTGTACCTTCTCCTGGATCTTGGGCAGAGAGTGATCTTACCCATCAACTGCAATGGGTGCGTGGGTAAGTGTGCGTGCGCATGCGCACCAGAACGTGAACATGGTTCCTTCTTCGTGCAAAGCTTTTGTCCTGCTGTTGAGCTATATAGTGTCTTCCTACCTCCAGTATTAAGAAATAAATGGGCGTCTCCTTTGATCCTGGCTCAGTGCTTAATTTTGCTGGACCAACTGTAGAAGGCTGCTCATGCTGAGCTTGTATCGCTTGTATGTACGTCTCATTATTTCCTTTACTTTACAGACTTTGGCATCCAAAGGTGTTTTGTTTTAGTAGCCATGGCTGGAGAGTACAGAAAGGCAGAGTGTCAGACTAGAATTAGGTTTGGGGAGAGATGGCTTCAAACTCCCTACACAGCCATGAAGCTTAGCAGGTGGTCTTTGGTCACTTGCTTTCTCTTAACCTTCTCTCTCCCTCAGAGGGATCCTTGGCACATCTATATTCTTGCCTTTCACATCTGAAATGTATTAGTGGATTTGGTTAGTCAGTGCAGTTAGGATTTAGAGACTTATAGCATTGCTATAAAAATATTTCCATACTCAGAAAATAATGAAGTGCCACATTGCTCTCTCTATGGAACATTAAAAATTGATTACCATTCTAGTTTTGGTTCCAATTTGAGCAGCACTTCCCAAAATGATTTCATAACTTGATAGTGGATTATTGTGTGTGTTTGTGGCGATTTGTATGCCACTTTTTACAAGTCAGTTATGTACTTATGCACTTCCTAGGGCTAATCACTGGAAGAATCTTTCTCTTAACAGGCAAAGAGTATAAGTAATCAGATTCTCAAGTTTTGTTTTCAAGAGTAGAAGTAATCAGATTCTCAAGTTTTGTTTTCAAATATAAAAGTGACTTTGCTGACTCAGACAACTTCAAAATCACCAAACGTGCTAATATTATATTGGCACTGGCATCCATTCCTGGTTACTAACAACTTTTATGAAGCTGTAGCATTTCTGTGTTAAAACTGAACAGTGAAAATAATGTCCATTGCTGATTTGCACTTCATTTGAGCCTGTCATCCACTTGTGAGTTGAAGGATGACTGGAACTTCGGGGGAGGTTCTGCTAAAGTTGGGTGGGGATTTTTCCCCTAAAAGAGAGCCTTTGTTACTTATCAAACAAATTTGCCTATATGGTTGCTGTTGAGTTTTGGGGCGTCTTCTGAAGGTTGTTCTTCCTGACATTTCACTTGTTGGGTTTTGGGGCATCTTCTGGAGGTTTTTCTTCCTGACATTTCACCAGTCTCTGTGGCCAGCATCTTCAGAGGCCTCTTCAGCAATAAATACTCAACTATCCAACAAACAGCAACAGAGCATGGACAGAGTTCCTATTCCAGTCCTCTGAAGATGCCGGCCACAGAGACTGGCGAAACGTCAGGCAGAACAACCTTCAGAACACGGCCAAAGAGCCTGAAAAACCCACAACAACCATCAGATCCCGGCCGTGATACTTCAGGGATATCTATAGACACTAACCTGGAGGACCAATAGGAATTCCCTATACCTCAGGGATGTCTGTAGACACTAACCTGGAGGACCAATAGGAATGTGTCTCTTTGCAGTTCAGCTCCTGCATTAGTGGCCTGATAGTAGTGTAGGAATAATAGGTAAGTGAGGAACAAATGTGCCCTTTTCAAAGGCAGAACAGAAGTATCTCAATTTGTTATATTTTGCAATAGGTACTTTGCAGGAATATCAGAAGAGAATGAAAAAGCTGGATCAGCAGTACAAGGAGAGGATACGTAATGCAGGTTGGTGAGCTGGATTTCTCGTTACTGTTTGAGTCTTTATCGAGGCTGAGGGAAATATGTTGGCCATGCATGATGCCTGCTTAGTACTAAGATGTGTTTATCCATGTCATTTTTCTATTCTGAAACTTTTCAGAGGCATAGTTGCATTACTCTCGTAGTGGGAAAAGTTATCGTCTGTCTGCATATTAAAGACAAACGTCGTCATAAAGTACATAGACTATATCCTTGAATGGTGTCAACTTCCCACTTAGGGATCAGGTTTAGAACCTGGGCATGTTCCTGAACCCGGCTCTCTCTTGAGGCTCCCAGATTGCAGCAGTGTAAATGGTAATCAACTGTGGTTAATCACCCCTTACCTAGATGAGGGAGCCCTCAGGATCTTGATGTGTGATGTCCAAGATTGACTACTGTACTGATCTCTATATGGGGCTACCCTTGAAGCAGACCTGGAGACTTTAGTAGGTGCTAGAATGCAGCTGCCAGAATGGTAGCAGGTATAAGTAAATCAGATCACATCTCCCCTGTCCTGGCTCGCTTGATTGACATTCACCTAGAAAGACCGTTGTGTCTTTTCCCAAGATCAGTTACCTGCACTGCCAGATTCTCCCAGGCAGTGTTCTTCCAGGTGGCCATTCCAAAGGAGGCCAGAAAATCATCAACAAGAAGTTTGGCCTCCTCAGCAGTGACACCACTGCTCTAGAACAGTGGTTCTTAACCCACCAGATTCTCCCAGGCAATGTACTTCCAGGTGGCCTTTACAAAGGAGGCCAGAAAATAGTCAACAAGAAGTTTGGCCTTCTCAGCAGTGACACCAGTGCTCTAGAATCAGCTCCTAGTTAAGCTGTGCCCCGCCCTGGATTTAAGGGTTTGCAGAAGACTTGTCTCTTCCGAAAATCCTTCGATAGCAACTTCATCAGAATTTTTAGCCTTGTGTCTTGCTGCTTACATGGAATGCTGCGCCTTTGTGATGTAACTTATTTTAAGATGGTTTTCTTGTTGGTTTTATGACTTTGTAACTATTTCATTTTGTTCTTGTGATTTTTTTTTTTGGACTTCAGATGTCACCACTGTGTTCACTGCTCAGAATAGTGCAACATGCTAACGGGGCAGTAAATAAATGAATTAAATAATAAGTAAACAAATTCATCAGATTTTGCAAGCAGGTCTGTAGGTTTGTTTGAGTAGAATGTGGTCTACTAAAGCTTGTGTCAGGGTGCATTTGCTTGTAAGGTACATGGAGGTTCTCATCTGACCCTCCACTCTGTCATTCGCTGCATACAGAAATATTTCAGTTGGTTCTATATTCTGACTGTAACAGTCCTGTTGTCCTCCGATCACCAGTGTGCCTGTTCTAGATTACTCACTCTGAAGTCACATGTTGCTTGCATATGCCTGCAAATTGATATAATTTTTTTTCTCTTTTCTTTCAGAGCTTTTTCTCCAGCTGGAAGTAAGTGCATGCCTTTTTAGTTTTTGTTTTATTCTAGGGTCTTAGTAAAGTGACCAGTTCACTGGTTTGGATTCAAATCCGTTGATTTTGGTGGACCTTAATATGACTAAGCCTGGATCCAACCTTCTCTTCCACATGTTTTGAGTACGGTTGGTGCCAGATACTTGCTATAAAATATTGTGCAAAACTGTTTTTATCCTCAGAGAACAGCTGATCAGTGACAATGAATGAATGTGCATTTAAGGATAACTGTTAGTAATCTGTAAACTTTCTGCCATGAGGGTTAGTGTTTATACTATTTGGAATGAACATATGGCATATCATAGTTCAGTGACAATGAATGAATGTGCATTTGAGGATAACTGTTAGTAATCTGTAAAGTTTCTGCCACGAGGGTTAGTGTTTATACTATTGTCTTTGGAATGAACATATGGCATATCATAGTTAAGATTAAAAGATTCACCTTAAATGTTACGGTCCTCCTTTTAAAGGGGGGAAGCAGTGATAACTAGCTATCTTGCTTTCTCTGTGTGTCTGTTTTTGTGTATCTGACATATAGTACGAGATGATCCTCTGGAGATATCTATCAATAGACCTGTTCTTTGTGATGTTAGGCATGATAAATGAAACCATGGGATATGCTTAAAACATGTGAGAGTGGAATGGCTCTTATCTTCAGACCTTTTTTTGTGGGTTTTTCAAAAGCATGTTGCTGACCATTGTTAAAAAATATATGAGCCCTCTCAGCCTGAGGAAGCGGAATGTCTATTACCCACAAGTAAGGAGTTATTTCAGCAATCCCATTGGAAAGACTTGTGTTGAGGCAAGACATAGGGCTGTTTTAATATTATAGCCATCTGGTTGTAAGTTGCCACTCAAAATAAAATTTCCAGTCTTTGAATTAGTCATGCAGTCAGGTCTGTTGCTCATTTTGATCATGAATGTGGATGGTGTCATTTCTGACAGTGTGGATTTATGCTCAAGAAATCTTGGGTACATTTTCTTTGTTGGAAATGCATATCTGATACGGTTCTGCCCTATAAATAATTCTGTATTTTGGGGATGTGGTTCTGTGTCAGACAGAACAAGTAGAAAGGAACTACATCAAGGAGAAGAAAGCAGCAGTGAAGGAATTTGAAGATAAAAAAATTGAGCTGAAAGAAAATTTAATTGCTGAATTAGAAGAAAAGAAAAAGATGATAGAGAGTGAGAAGTTAACCATGGAGCTGACAGGTGGTGAGTAAAAGACCAGAATGCTGTATTTTGTAAGGGAAGGGACCAGTAGCAAAACTCGGCCCTGGATCCAGTCTCTGCATCGCCAATGGGGAGGTGCTGACAATGGCTTTTTTCTGTCTAAAACTTTGGAGAGCAGCTGTGAATCGGAGGGGACAATAGTCTCGTAGATGGAAAAAAATAACATCATGGAAAATGTCAACTTCTTATACTCTGATTCATAATTACTCAGTGGTACCAGTTTCATTGAAGCAAACTGCCTGCCACCTGTACATTAGTTTGCAGCCTTAATGGTTGAACCCTACACTTGCTCTGCACATAGAGTTGTGTTCAATAGATCTATTGTTTCAGGAACTGTTTTTTCTGAAATTAAGTATGCATTTAAGATAGTTTAGGGACCATTGTTCTAAGTGTCTTGGTATGAAAGAAGGGGCTATAAAAATCAATTCTCTTTTTTTTCCCACAACACAACTAGTAAGTAATGGCTTAAAAAGCCATAGGCCACAAAGGACTACAACTGTTTGCATAACCGTGATGTATATAAAGTTAAGGAAGAAATAGTTACTAGAGATAAAATTTGGAGAAATATATATAAACACCAACAGTGGAGAAAAGTTAACTCAGGGAGTGTGAAGGCCCCTATGTATCTTGCCAGTATAATGGTGACAGTAGAAGAAGTAAATTCCCCTTTCAAGTACGGGGAGGCAATTGATAGTTCACATCAAAATTCTATGCTCTAAAACAAATTCTAAAGGAGAGGCTTATGCCAGTATGGAACCTGTATGCGTGAAGATAGGCAAGAAGTGTCTTGTGTCACGTCTAAAAATCTGGCATACCTTGTGGGCAACTTGCTTGTTGCTTTTCAGATTCCATGGAAGTGAAGCCCATCATGACAAGAAAACTGAGGAGGCGGCCAAATGATCCTGTCCCCATACCCGACAAGAGGAGGAAGCCAGCCCCCGATATCCTTTCCGTAACAAGCTGTTCTGTTAAAGTCCTGGGAATGGATTGATCACAGTGAACAGGTTTCTCTGCAAACTATCTGGTCCATTAAGCTTTGAGAATCTCCTGCAATGTGCAACTGCAAAGGAATGATGGCCTCACATTGTTGTAAGGCCACAATGAGGCCCCAGTGGAGTGGGTAGTGCCTAGGCACCAACAATATCTTACATTGTGCAATGCCTTACATTGTTGTAAGGCAACAATGAGACCCCAGTGGAGTGGGTAGTGCCTAGGCACCATAGGGCAGTAGCAAAGCACAGGCTACATTTGTAGAAGGACTCAGGTTACATCCTTAGCATCACCAGTTGTAAGGTAGCAGGCAGTGGGGACTGCCTACTTTCTGAAAGAGTGACTGGCAGTCATAGTAAACCGTACCACAAAGTACTCTGCACTCTTAGCTAAGCATGTTGTTTATTTCTGTTCAACTTCCAAGAGCTGCTGCCACTCAGGAATCTTGGGAGATGGAGTCCAATACATCTGTTGAGCCAGAGAAATGAGAATCACTGTCTTAGAACATCTGCATCACTTAGAGGATGGGGTAGAGTAGTTTTTAAATGGAAGGGGTCCTGTAAAATTAGAAAGGAGAACAGCCACTGATCCAGATTATTGCATCTTGATTATTACTTGGAAATGCTGAGGCATGGGGCAAAACAGGATACCTGCCTCACAAAAAGAATCATAGAATGATGGAGTTAGAGGGAGCTGTAAGACGATGAAGTCCAACCATCTGCTCAAGGCAGAAATCCAAATCAAAGCGGGTCTGACAGATGACATATATCTAAAGCTCTCTGGATTTAGCCTGAGGAAGCAAAGTGTATCAGGTCAGCACCTCTGTCTGTTGCGGTATGTATAAGAAGCCCTCTAAACCAGTGGTCCCCAACTTTGGGCCTCCAGATGTTCTTGGACTACAGCTCCCAGAAGCCTTCACTGGCCAGGAAGGTGGCCAGGATTTCTGGGAGTTGAAGTCCAAGAACATCTGGAGGCCCAAGGTTGGACCACTGCACCATAGAATATCCAGTGTGGTGAAATGGACACAGTGATGGATTAGGACTCTGGAGAACAGGGTTTGAATCCCTGCTCAGCCATGGAAACTCACTGGAGGAGAGGAACTGGTAAAACCACTCCTTAAATACCTCACTTACCTTGAAAGTCCTATTAGAGTCACTGTAAGACGGTTCCAGCTTGACTGCACATAAGTAACTAACTAACCTAAGCCAGTAGCTTTGTGATTTTCTACTTCTAGGAGTCCTTTCAGTTTCAGAAACCATCTCCCTTGCCCACCAGACATTCTAGGCTAATGGTTCTCAGCATCACACCCTCCAGATAGTTTGGACTTCAGAATGAGAGCCTTATGCAGACTCCACCTAGAAACCCAACTCTGCCTGGGTTGGGACTCCTGTTCAGATCTATTTTACTGCCTTCCAGTGGTGTGCCTCCCAGTATCCATCCCTGATGAGCTTTTAAAGAAGTGCGTCGAGCTGAGTTGAGGGAAAATGTCTTCCACACCTTATCCGTGTGGGAGACAGATAAAATTTTTTGTAGACTCGCTGTCTAAGTTTTTAAGTGCTCCTTTCCGGATGGAGGTCATCCAGGAGAGAACTTGTTTCACTTGCTACTAAAGCAAGATTGTCTGAATCAAATGTGTGCTATGAAGTGGGGCCTTCCAGGCTTGAAGCCTGAAAAGGTTTTGGAAGTATGACGTATTTGGTGCCAACTTGATCTTTAAGCAGGAATTAAAACCCATTTATTTGTCAAAAGACTTCCTTGAAGTGGAAATGAAAACCGCTGGAATTGTTTGGTTGATAAGGATCAACACAGTTGCCTGCATTTTTATATTCTAGAGCCTGGGTGCCCAACCCCTGGTCCGCTGCCCAATCTGGGACGGGGCCTTGGCAGGACGAGGACGTGGAGACAGATCTCCCCCCCCCCGCACTACCCTTCCATGCATGCACCCATGGCCCCCCACATACACTTCTTCAGTTTTCGTTTGCCTGCTTGGAGAGCACTGGGATTTTGAAGACACTCTCCAGCTCTGAAAAAAAATTTTTATTGTGCTGATAGCCCAATTCAGCTGTTTGTCTGCTCAGCACAAAGTCTGCCCTTCCAAGTGAAGCTTTGGTTGCTGATTGATTGATTGAATGTATTTCTAAACCTCCTTTCAGGGCAGATGGTTCTCCACAAACTGTTTAAGATAACACAAAACAACACTGGAAGGTTAAAACAAAAACCTGGTTGGGGCAGGGAACAGAAATGCACGGTTACAAGACAGGAGATACTTGACTTAGCAACACTATGAGTGAGAAGGATCTTGGAATTATTGTTGATCAGAAGCTGAATATGAACCAATGTTGCAGTGTGGCTGCAAAAAAGGCAAGTGCTATTTTAGGATATATTAGCAGAAGCATAGTCTCCAAATCCTTTGAGGTTCTGATTCCCCTCTATTCTGCACTGGTTAGGCCTCATCTAGACTACTCTGTCCACCTCTGGACATTGCACTTTAAGAAAGATGCCAGCAAACTGAAACAAGTTCAAAGGAAGGGCAACAAGGATGATCAGGAGACTGGAAACTAACCCTCCCCCATGAGCAAAGAGTGAAGGAACTGGGCCTGTTTAGCTGTGAGAAAAGAAGACGGAGGGGAGATCTGAAAGCACTTCTCAAATACTTGAAAAGCTGTCATAAAGAGGAGGAGCAGGATCTGTTCTCGATCATCCTAGAGGGCAGGACATGTAATAATAGACTCAAAACTATAGGAAGCCAGATTTAGGCTGAATATCAGGAAAAACATCTTAACTGTTAGAGCAGTACAGCAATGGGACCAGTTACGTTGCCTGTCGTGAGCAGTTGAATTCTGGAGGCATTCAGAAGAAAATTGGACAACATCTGTCACATCTGCTTTGACTTAGATTCCTGCATTGAGCCTTATAGGCCCCTTCCACCTCAGTTATTCAGTCTAAATACCTGTATAATATAATAACATTACACAGAAAAACAGCAACACAGTCAGATAAGCAGAACTAGCTGCAAAGAGGGATGTAGCTCCTGGACTACTTTTATGTCAAGAAGTTTGTTGCCAGTCGTGAGCAGTTGAATGGTGGAGGCATTCAGAAGAAAATTGGACAACATCTGTCAGATGTGCCTTGACTTGGATTCCTGCATTGAGCCTTATAGGCCCCTTCCACCTCAGTTATTCAGTCTAAATACCTGTATAATATAATAACATTACACAGAAAAACAGCAACACAGTCAGATAAGCAGAACTAGCTGCAAAGAGGGATGTAGCTCCTGGACTACTTTTATGTCAAGAAGTTTTGAGACCCATTTTTGCTTCAGAGTTATTTGTCCTTAATCTGGATTACCTCAGCTCAATTATCTCCTAACCGATGAACAGATAATGGAGGATCTGAGAACACTCAATAAGGTAAGCATGCTTAGCATAAATACTTCAGGGTGTGCAACTCATAGCCTTTCAAACGTTGTTGGATAGCAACTCCCATCAGCCCTAGCCATCATGCTCAATATTGAGGGATGATGGGAGCTGTGATCTGACAACATCTGGAGGGCTGCAGTGTGGCCTCTGCTGTCTCCCAGGGGAAAGGTAGATTTAATGTTCTCTTTGATCCAAAAGGAGTGCTAATCAGTTCATTGTTGATCTCGCGCTCTCTGCCTGGGGATCAGTCTTCTACAAGAGCTGTTCATAAAAAAAAGCAGCTTAAAAGACAAGGATACATTTAGAGGGGGTGGATTTGAACAAACACAATACAAATCATTATTTTCATAATAATTCTAAATAATCCCTTCTAAGAGTAGTTCTAAATAACATATGAGAATATATACAATATATAAGGAAAATCCAAATTCAGACCTATATTTTCTAATTCTAATTATTATGTAGCTGCTAATATTTATCTAGCATTTAAAAGTAACTCTTCCTATACTATGATTGTATATCAGCCTACCATTCTAACTATTTTGTGATCATATATTTAGTAACCACCAAGTTTCCCAGTGCTCCTTTCTCTCTCTGTATTGCTCACTTTTTTTGGATTCAGCTAGTCTGTTAACATTCTCTCTCTCTCTTTTTCTTTGATTCAGCTAGTCTGTTAACATATTAATTTCTTCACTTACCACTATTCTTACTATCAGTTCCTGTATTTGTGGTATTCCAGACTCCTTCCAGTGTTTCACGAATACTAATCTTGGCACTATTGTTCCTTCCATCTTTTATATAATCAGTTTTTTTTCATAATAATTCTAAATAATTCCTTCTAAGAGTAGTTCCAGATATCATGCCGAAGTATATACAATATATAAAGAGAATCAAAATTCAGACATATATTTTATAATTCCAATTATTAATTATATAACTGATAATATTTATCTAGCATTTAAAGTAACTCTTCCTAAGCTATGATTGTATATCAGTCTACCATTCTATCTATTTTGTGGTCATATAGGTAGTGGCCCCCAAATTTCCCAGTGCTCCTTTTTCAAAAGGGAGGAGCAGGTTTGTTGAGAGGTTGTTTAACATTGGATGCTGTCTCTGCAAGGAGGGCGCCACCGTCCCCTTTCCTTTCACTCGATATGCTTCTCTGTTGATTTTGCCTTCTACCTTACCCTGTCTTAGCTTGGAGGATGCCTAGAGCTCTCCTGCACTGGCCCCTGGGATGTCTGCATGGCACTTATCCAGAGCACAGCTACTGAACCCTTCACTGTGGCTTCCTACACACCTGAGTGGGGGGAAGAAACCTCTTGTGACGGCCAAAATTGAACCCAGCACCGCAAACTCTTGGGGGCCATGATGGAGCAAACAGAATGGAAGGGGAAAGACTCCTGATGCCTTCTTTAAACACCAGGGACCCAAGTATAACTTGCTGTACTTGTTTTGACTTGTTCCAGCCATATAGATCCCAAAGGATGTCTTGAGAGCATCTGAGAGTCCTGCGAACCCGCTGCTTCTCATTCCATTAGGAGTGTAAAAGAGTCGTGCTTAGCAACATGCTTAGGTGTTTTTCTCCATCTATATGGTTCCCAAGAGAAATGGCTGTCAGCCAGCCATTTGTGGGCTAAAACATAAAAAGAGAGTTCTGTAGAGGCACCAGTGCGGGACTGAGAGTCTGAAAAACGGTGGTTGAAGCTGTTGGACCAGGGATTTCTTGACTTTAATCAACGTGATCAAAGCTCGTCTTTGCATCTGGAAAGTCGCTAAAGCCTTGCGGCTGAGCTAGGGCATATCAAGGCTGTAGCGATTGATCAGGAGGAGTGTCATAGATTGAGCTGACTGAAAAGCCTAATTGATCACATCAACTGCAATGTTTCCAGATACTTGTAGCCCAGAGTGAAATGTTCTACTTCATCAGTTGTTTCATTGAGCAGTTCTCTGTGATTATGGGCAGAGTCTGGAGATTGCGTCTCCTAGCCACGCACCTGGCCGTGCTGTCTGTGAGATTCCAGATATTCTCCTTTTTTAAAAAAGGACATTTCCAAGTTTTCCATGCAGATAGTCCATTGTCACTAAAGTTGCTTTCCTTTTCTCTCCTTACAGCTTAAATCACCCAAAAGACCAGGTAAGCGCCTCTTGGTTTTTGTTCTTGCCCCTTTGGCAGTTTATAGGAACCTGTAGTTCAGTGCATTGCTTTCCATGCCTTCGTTTCCATGTTTCTGTCATGACATACTGGGCAAAAAGAGTCTTGTTTTAAAGATGTGTTTTACTGTGGCTGGTTACAGTGAGCACCATTTTGATGATAAGAGGGATTATATAATATTTAATAAATATAAAACGTGCTAGATGATGGGGAAAGACTTCTGTCTGAGATTTTGTCTTGCTGGCTAGACAATGCAGGTAGGTATAGGGCAACATCCTATGTAAGTACATTATACATGGCCACCACTGCAGGAGTATACCGGATACCTTGCAGTTGTGGCCAGGTATATATTGGGACCAAAAAGCACAGCATCTGCGCTAGAATCAAAAAATATGAGAGACACTGCAGACTAAAACAGCCGGAAAAATCGGCCGTAGCTGAACATGCCCTGAAACAAGCTGGACATGAAATTCTATTTCAAAACACTGAAGTACTGGACAACACCAGCAATCATAATGTTAGATTGCACAGAGAAGCCATTAAAATCCACAAACACCAGAGCTTCAACAAAAAGAAGAAAGTGTAAAACTCAACAAAGCTTTGCCGCCGCCCCCCCCCCCAAAATCTGAGAAGGCTGAAAAATGCAGCCTGCAATGAACAAGGACCGGTGATCACTGCAGACAAAAGACTACCCTGTTTCCCTGAAAATAAGCCCTTGTAGGATTTTTCAGGATGCTCGTAATATAAGCCCTACCCCAAAAATAAGCCCTAGTTAAGTGAAACCCTGCCCTCCCCCATTGTGCAGCACCCACAAGATGACATGGCAGTATTTTAATAAATGTAGATTATTGTACATAAAAAAAAACGTTCCCTGAAAATAAGCCCTTGTACATTTTCTGGAGCAAAAATTAATATAAGACCCTGTCTTATTTTCAGGGAAACAGGGTAGCTAACAACACCCATCAATCACAGTGACAGATCATCTCTTCCCCCCCATCACAACAATACACCCAGAACAATAAACACCCTGATCACCATAATCACCCAATCTCCTGAAAAGGACAAAAAGCTGATCCCGCAGTTACAAATACTCAACTATCCTACACCAGAACAGAGTTCTAACTCTTCTCCTTTGAAGATGCTGGCAACAGAGACTGGCGAAATGTTAGGAAGAAAAACCTTCAGAACATGGCCAAACAGCCTGAAAAACCTACAACAACCATCGGATCCTGGCCATGAAAGCCTTCGAGAAGATATTGTAATTAATCATAATAGCTGTTCCACCAAGTTGATTCTGACCTATAACAACCCTTTTTAGGGTTTTCTAGATATAGAAGCTCAGAGGTAGTTTATCTTTCCCTTCTTTGGAGGCCCCTTAGAGATTGTGCAGCTTATCCAATGCTATGCATGTTGGCTCTTCTCTTGAGGAACACAGTGGGGAATCAAACTCTCAGTCTGTGGCTTGCAGCCAGATACCTAACTCACTGAGCTATCCAGCCAGTTTGCATTATATGAAGGCAAGGATGAGCACAGTCTGGGAGCCATTATTCTGAGTCAATGACCTTCCAATAGCCACAGCAACTGAAATTGGAGTGGTCATTATGGGCTCCTTAAAGTCTTTTGCAGGGGGAGGGATCTGGATTTCTACTAAGCATGGTGTCAGGCCCCACATTTGGTTAATAGGTAAATTGCTCTCTGGAGGTTCAGTTCTCCCATCGTGGTGCAAGGCAGGAACAGAAAGATATTTTAAAATAATTTTTTCCAGGAGTGGGGGCTGCAGAAACAGCTTTGGAGTTGCATGTAGTTGACAGACAGTACAATCCATATGCTTCCATTACAGCATATGGGTTTTTGAATGTGGGCAAAGGAGAAATGGAGAAGCAGAGAATTCATAGAATGGGTGTAACTAAGAAACCCCTACTGTTCAAACCAGAATCTTTGCATTTCTTTTCCAATTGAGGTTGTTCCAAATCATTGTGTATCATCTCTCTGTTGTTCAAAGTATTAAAAGGGGGGGAAGGCCATGATGTGAGGGACTTAAGTCATAGACTCCTGCTTTTAGTCCCTGGCACCTCAGGTCACAAAGTTGGGAAAATATATTTGCATGACACACTGGAAAAGCTGCTGCCTCTTAGGAAGCAATATGGGGTAGAGTGGCTGGTGGTTCATTGGTAGAAGTCTATGTCAGGGTAACCCCATGATGGCAAGTGTGCTCTCTGAGTGAAAGCTTTATGCTTTATCTTCAGCCTTGGCTTGAGAAGAGAGCATGGTACACCTGCCTGACATTGCTTACATTTTAAGCATATGTCTAGGAGTTTTACAGAGCATAAAGCTCACTCTTCTATTCCAGCATCTCCTTCATCACCAGAACACCTTCCAGCTACGCCTGCTGAATCCCCAGCGCAACGATTTGAGGCCAGAATAGAAGATGGCAAACTTTACTATGATAAAAGATGGTAAGGCTTGGAGTTCTTACGTGAAACTGAACTGATACGAGTGTGAAAAGTCTTTTTCTTTTTCAGGAGCTATAGTAGGTTTAAGTATCTACAGTGCCAAGCACCACAAATTGAATGGCAGGGCAAGATGATGTGGGGGGGGTGCCCACATGGTTGCTCCCACATGGTCAAAGATAAAAGAACTGTAGGTAAGTGTCAGTGCACCTGCATTGTACGTAGAGATCCTAGGTTAAAGCAAAGTGTGCTGCTTCAAGCACTCTCTGGGTGGTTTACAAGTTAATTATGCAGGCTATACATTGCCTGCCCCCTCCGCAAGTTGGGTACTCATTTTACTGACCTCGGAAGGATAGAAGGCTGAGTCAACCTTGAGCCGGCTACCTGGGATTGAACCCCAGGTCGTGAGCGCAGTTTTGGCTGCAGTACAGCGGTTTAACCACTGCGCCACAAGGCTCTCTAGTTAAGTCACTATCGTCTCCAGTGCCTAAAAACTTCCAGAGCAACTGCCAATCTGTATAGACCAGACCATGCAAAGAGTACCCTTCTGGGTGTTGTTTGACGACAGCTCTTCCCAGCCCTTGCCAGTGGGTGAAACACATGGTGGTGATCAAATACTAGCATATTTCCCACCTCGATGGAGACAAAATTTAGCCAAGTGGGCTGATAGATAGTCTGAATTATGAAGCAACATTTTAATATTGGGATTCTGGGGAATTTACTCTGTTGGATTTTTCAAAATGGATTTATATAAACACAGTCCCCAGAAAAGAACATGGACCTGGTAGCAGTTTGCACTCAAGAGTCCATATAGCTCCAAGCTGCTGTACATTATCTGGGTCATAAAAAGCACAGGCATCAGTCAGCATGTATTTAAGTGCTTCCAAGGGTAAACACACACGTTTCTGAAAAGTCTCCAAAGAATTTCCCCAGTTGGGAGTATGCATCCAGAAATGTCTAAAATTGACAGAAATGTACACAGAGACATGTACAAGACGCACTGGTTATACTCTGCCAGCCGTGCTGAGAAAAAAAAAGCCCCTATGTTGAACTAGGGCAGAAGAAGCTTTTTATTAAAGTGTGATGAAAACGAACAGAGTGACCCATTGCTGGTCTTGTGCAAGATTTGCGAAGACCTGAAATGTCCACCAGGGGGAGGTATCTCATCGCTCTGGCCTCACCAAAGAGACAATAACGCTCAAGTCTTGTTTATTTCGTAGGTATTTATTTCGAATATTTCTATCCCAGCCTAAAAAAGAAGAAAAAGGTTTCAGTGCAGTGAACAACAAGAAGCGCATGCAACCTCTGGTCCAGGGTCCCTGGAATAAAAGAGCAGCGCACTCCACCTTGTGTTGGTTGCTGTACTAGTGAGGCATCTTTGGGGGGGGGCAGGAGAATAGGTGTCTGTACCAAGCTGGACATTTTATGTAATGGTCAACAGACATGTGCTCTCCAGCCAGGGACCAGAGTGGGAAGTAGTCCCCAGGTCTATAATGCAGTCATTGGAGACACCTATTCCCTCCTGCCCCCCCCCCCTCCTGGACCTTTTATGTAGCGGTCAACAGACATGTGCTCTCCTGCCAGGGACCAGAGTGGGAAGTAGCCCCCAGGTCTATAATGCAGTCATTGGAGAGACCTATTCCCCCCTGCCCCCCCCCCCCCATTTTATCCTTCCATAGACTTGAGCTTAGTGACCAACTGCTAGTTCCAAGGGGAAATAGTATTCTCCATTTAGGAAGTGCGCTCCCACTGCGGAATCATGCCTCTCCCCAGTTCATAAGCTCCTGTTTGCATTCTCAAGAAAGTGATATTGAGAAAATATCCATGCATCCACTGGTTATGCTATATGTTATGAAATGCAAAAAGATGTTGGCTTTTCGTGGTTAAAGCTTCATGCCACATGGTGGCAGAATAGAATCAGAAGTTATTTTCCATCTGAGAAGGCTGAAAGCTGAAGGTTTTTTTTTCAGGCAGTATTTCTGTTTATTTAGCAATTCTGTGTTTAGGTGCTCCAATCTGTAGACACCTGGGATAGCTGGGATGCGGAAGACTTCCACCCATCCTAGCCATGCTGGTGCACATTTTGGCTCCTTTGCTGGTCTGTTGAACCTTGTTTTTTGGGAGGGCGGGGGGTTCTTGGTGCACTAGTTTGGCAAGTCTTCAAATCTCCTGAGATCCTGTATTTTATGAACTGCTATTTCTGTGCTCCTTTTCTAATTGGATCCCTTCTTCAAGAAGGACAATCTCTTGACTTAAAGGCACCTGACAGACACGGGTGAAGGGGATCTGATCTAAAAATGTCACCAATGTGACTAGCACCACGTGCATAATTAACTTGTGACATACTACCTTCTGACTCTCTTGAGAATACAGGATCCAAAAATGCCCCATCACCCTTTCCACGTACATAAGAGTGGATGTGTTTTCTAGTATCCCACCATGTCACGAAGAAAATCACTTTGGAAAGTACAGGGATATTCCAGAGTGATTTGTCTAGTAACATGTCCTATAACTGCATGCCCTGAAAAGTTAAGAGTTCCATGAGATCTTTGGCTTACTGAAGACAAGCAGCATGCTTGTATACGTGGCCCGGTTGCTCCTGTCTCTGGCAGGGAGGCCTAAACAAGCTATAGATGTTTCATCTGTATCCTCATTCTCACCACTGACATAAAAAGCCAGCACTCTAACTTGTCTTATCCCCCATGCCAGAGAAATGGCTCTACAACACACCATACCTTATTTGTCTGGCTTGTAGGTAGAGAGGCAAAACAGAGCACCGTCCATCAAAAGTCCCACAGCTCAGGAACTTGGGAGTCGTTGAATCATCTCTGTTTGAATCCTGGCTGATGAGTTTGTTCCAACAGCAGACTTACTTTGGGGGGGAATCTTTCTTTTCGATCCAGGTTCTTGTTTCGGTTTGTTCCAACAGCAGACTTACTTTTTTGGGGGGGGATCTTTCTTTTCGATCCAGGTTCTTGTTTCTAAAAAACAGAATGAAACCCATATGGAGAAATACTAGGAAGATGCAAAACACCTGTGGATTTTGCAGAGGTGTCTTGAGGTTTTTTTAAAGTGACTTTTGATAAGTTGTATCTCATTAGCATATTTCTTGGATGAAAAAGGTCCGGAAAGGTTAACTTTCTTTGTAAATATGTGAAGTTGGGATGTTTGGGGGTTTTTTCTTCACATTCCCAAACCCATTCTGTACTTTTTGCCATTCTAGATGCTGTTACTTAAGAAATAAACTCTCAGTCAGCTTTTTGCAAGGCTGCGAGCTAATGCAAATGTCAGGAATAGTCTACTCTTGGACATTGTTGGAGCCTTATTGTTAATAGGGAAGATTTGATGGGTCCCAGATTGAAATGGTTTAACCTTGCCTTTCCATCATGAAGGAGTGCATATGTGTTTGTATGCATACCCTTTTGTCTTCCTCAGTCTTCTTGAAAAGAAGATAAACCTGGGGAATAACTAGCTGCCTTGAGTGAACAGGGATTTCCACCCAAAAGTCTGTGATTGAAGGCAACATAGCTATTACACAGGCCTATTTTCTCTACCCCCAGCTCTCGAAATTTTAGCCCAGATTTAATTTGAAAAACCAGCATTGGCTATTTTGCGTCTCTGTTCCTCTGCTCTCCTGCTCCACAAGATCAACTCTAGCATTTCTCTCCCTTTGCTGCAAGAATAGTTTTCTTATCGATCATAATAATGCCTTGGCAAAATAGTTAATATTTTAAATAACTCATGAGTGTGGGAGGACAATTCTTAAGTGCATATTAAAATCTCCAAGCTATCATGTGTCACAAATAGAACCTGCTTTCTGTGGGCTGAATACGCTTTTCTTCCTCCCCACCCGTCGCCGCCTTCCTGGTGGGAAATAAAGGCAATTACCTCCAAGAGAACAAATGCTAAGGCTAGAGACGGGCGCCCTGTGGTTCTTTGGTGGCATTCAGCAGTCTCCTTGCAAGAAGGTGTTTTTGGTGGTGGACGTTTGCTTTTCACCAATCAATTTGCACATGGGGGGGGCAGTTGAGGAACACGACATGCCAGATATTTTCAAATTGGAGACTGATGTGGCACATTTTCTCTAGGCCGAGAAAATACAATGGACCCAAAGTCACGCAGGAATTTCATGCACGTCCTTGCGCTGCTGTCAGGCCAGGCTTCGTGCGGATGGTCTAAATAGAACAAGAGATGGCTTGCCACATTTTGACATAGTTCTCATTGCTGCTAAAGCTGGACTGGGAAACCTCGGACCCTCCAGATGTGTTGAACTTGGGACTCCCAGAAGCTCTAGTTAGCACAGCCTGTGTTGAGGGTAGAGGTGGATGAAGTTCTTGTTTTGGAGAATGACTCCCAAGAGTCCAGCTCCCCGCTGGCTCAAGGTTATTGCCCCACATTGGATGAGGGGCAGTGAAATCCAACAATGGCTGGAGGGTGCCAGCTCTTTCATCCCAATATAAAAGATGGTGTGCCATGATATCATTAAGTCCAGGGTCTAAAATTAAATAATTGAGGCACTGGGGAGCCATGCAACACATGCCCCAAGAATGAATAAATTTATTCTGTATATTTATATACTGCAAACATAGTGCAAAGCACTATGGTAAGCAGTTTACAAAAGCAGGAAAACAGTCTGGTTTGTTGGCTGTAAATCACCCAACAAACCAACATTAAACACCCAAAATGAGTATGTACAATAAATAAAGGAGACCCCAAATGGTGGCAGAATCACAGAGAAGGATTGACATAAGGGTGTCCTTGAAACCTTCTCTAAGCAAAACAGTCTTTAGCATCCTCTTAAAAGATGGGAGGTAAGAGGCCTGATGTAATTCTCCCAGGAGCCCCTTCCTTAAGGATGTGGCCTTTCCCAATGATCATCCAGTGAAATAAATTAGTAGTACAATAGGCAACCGAAGTGCTTCACAGAGCTACAATCGTGCCCTGCTTAACGATTACCCCGCATTACGATGAATCCACTTCACGACGATGTTTTTGCAATCGCAATTGTGATCGCAAAATGATGCTTTAAATAGGGTTTTTTCACTTTGCGAAGATCAGTTCCCTGCTTCAGGAACTGATTCTTCGCATAATGACGATCAGAACAGTTGATTGTCGGGTTTTCAAAATGGCCACCGGGTGCTTAAAATGGCTCCCCTCTGTGCTTAGGGACGGATTCCTCACTATACAGGCACCAAAAATGGCCGCTGTATGCAGGATCTTCACTGGACGGTGAGTTTTTAGCCCATTGGAACGCATTGAACGGTTTTCAATGCGTTTCAATGGGTTTTTTAATTTCGCTTTATGTTTTCGTTCTACAGCGATTTAGCTGGAACGAATTAACATCGTTAAGCGAGGCACCACTGTATGCAATAAGCTAGCCACTGAAGTTTTTTTAAACTACACCTTCCAGCCGCCCAAACCAGCATGCCGCTGATAAGGGAGGATCATAGGGGCAGAGGTCTCCACCCAAGCAATAGACGGGTACCATTATGCTGTTACAAGAAATGATGGTGGCAGCTGCCTTGGGTAGCCTCTAAACTGGCAGAAAGAAGAGACTGATGATGATTATACATACTAAACAAAATAAAGTGGGAGGAGACAGCAATGTTAGAAGCTATAGGTCTCCAAATGGCTCTTTGTTCAGTGCGTCCACATGTCTCCACTTTTCAGAGCCAGCTGGAGAGACAGTAGATTTGGGTTTCATCAGGGAGAGGTTCCACTTTTCAGAGCCAGCTGGAGAGACACAGTAGATTTGGGTTTCATCAGGGAGAGGAATTTCTGGTGTCCATTTCAGACTTTCAGACAGTTTCTCGACAACCCATCAACAAGCCTGCTCAGTACCTCCCAACGTCTGGGAGTAAAGCACCAGTGTTTCCACCCAGCATAGGCAGGTTGGGGACAGCTGCCCTTTCATCACCCAGTTTGGGCTCCATCTCTTTCACCCTATCGGTCTTCTCGTTATTATTGTTGTTTTATTAAAAAATCTGGCAAATCCTCACAATTAGCCTGTTAATCCCTAATCCGCTGCCAATGTCTTGTGCATTTAATAGCTGCTCAGACAGTCCGTGTGCTTCATCAATATTCTTTGCAGGAAGAAGCATGCAGGTAGTAATTAAACGTTAAAAAGTAGGAGGGATAATAAACTTGGTCTTTAGTAGGAGACTCTGGCCTGTGTTTATGTATGGAGGAGAAATGAAATGCTAAACCCTAATTAAGACTGATAAGGCTCTGGGAGAGTGGGTGTACCCTAGGGAGGGAGAGAAGCAGGATAGCCGCCTCTTGATTTTCAAGGCATAGAATATGGGAGGGAGGCAGCACCCCATCTGCAGTACATGCATTCTAAGCTGTTGGATCCCATCTTTCACCTCAGTGGCAAAACATGTGTTTTGCATATAGAGATGGTCCATGGCAACACTGTGTAGATCCCGGAAAGAATCCTGCCTTTTCCTGGATTACATTTCTGAGCACTAACTATTGAAAGCTGTTTGGGCCACTGCTAATATTTGACCTCATGCCTGGAAGACAAAAAAAAAGCAGGTTAGAAGGACTGGAACACTGCAGGATTTCTTTTCCCCTTTCTGTACACTGTCCACCTCGTCCCCCAACTTTGCTGGAGTGAATGTTACAAATCAGTGGACAATAGTGCAGAAGGTCAGAGTGAAATTTGTGGTAGAGAAATAAAGGAGTGTCCCTGATTAGGGCAAAGCAGCTAACTTTTCTATGGGGGTAGGGGGGTGGGGGTCTCGAGCTGCCTAAGAGGTCATATAGAATTGACATCTCAAAGCTCTTATTTTTATTTTATTTTATTTTGGATGTTCAGGTATCACAAGAGCCAGGCTATTTATCTGGAGTCGAAAGAGAACACCAAAATCAGCTGTGTGATCAGCTCCGTGGGAGCCAACGAGGTAAAGGCACTCATCTGAGGCTCAGATGCCACTCTGCAAACAACAGCTGAAATCCTGTTGCGCAGCTTTGTGTGCACGAGTCGAAGCTGCTGGGGCATAAGTGGATGTATGTTACAGCCGAAGCGCTGTTCACAAAGCACTCGCATGCGTGCCCTGCAGCAGCAGTCACAAGGGCAGCCGGGCGATCCATTGCACAATCTGAATTTGGCAGCGCTGGTTTCCTGGGCGCAGCGCACAGCGTGCTTAACGCTGGCATAACTTTATCTTATGCAGGAACACACAGGATTTCAGCCAGCGATGGCACTTCAAAGCCTGTTTGGTGGGTTAGTGTAGTTGTGGGTAAGAATGCAGCTTGTGTTTCCCACACACACACACCTTTGGGATGTACACATTGTCCAAACCAGAAACTGAGTTCTTGGCTGGCTCTTTCCTCATTGGTTGCATGGCAACAACCAGCTGGGGGCTGATGAAGGAGCATCAAGGCTGAAGATGCATTTAAGAGCTGCAGTGAGGCTTCACTTCAGCTTTTTCAGAGGAGGGGGCAATGCTTCTGAGTTTAATGTGATTGTTCCTTGGCACCTAAATGGCACTCTGTCTTGTTGGTTATGACAGCAGTACACTAGGAGCTGAAGCCTCCTTGCTACCCTTCCATATCTTCTCTAAACTCACCCAGCTGTTGTTTACAGAGGCATTCAGTCCTGTCACCATAGCTGTTTCTTTATTTGCGCAGTGTAATGGTTAAAGCAGGGGTGGGCAACATGTGGCCCTGCAGATGAGGCATTATGAAGGCTACCTCTGGCCGGCACTAGGTGGCCTAGCCCAGGGTGGAAAATGCTGGCAGTCACAACCCAGCAGTACCTAGAAGGCTGTACTTGCCCACCTCTGGGATAAAAAGTTAGATTAAGGCTAAGGGACTCGGATTTAAATCCCAGTCTGCTGTGAAGCTGAGATCTTGCACTAGTTATTTGTTTGTTCATTTGTTTGGGGGGGGGGCGAAATTGTCCCACTTTTGTCCTTAAAAGGACCCAAGGCAGCTTACATCATTAAAAAGACAGTACTGTACTTAAAAGCTAAAAACAATAACCTTACAGCCTGCTATACTGGGTTGTCATGAAAAGGAACATCAGTGAAGGGACCATGTATGCCACATAGAACTTTTGAGGAGAATGGCAAAGATGTATGAATAACCAGCAAGAAAATATTATTCTTTCTTCCTCCAGTATATTGTCAAAAATGACCAAACGCCTGCCATCCATTCCCCACTGCAGTCCCTGTCTCCTGCCAAAAACCAGCATGCCAACAGTTGCTGGGGGGGGGAGTGTGCATGTGAAATTTTCTGTAACATGAAAGGAGCCCCTCCCCCACCTTCTCTACCAGAAGGGATGCTCTGCCTTGCCAGTCTGCAGATCTGGGGCAGGGGATGGGGGGGCAGGAGCAGGGAGCCCTGGAGGCCTCCTGCAAGATGGCATCCTGCCCCAGGAACTTCAGCAGCAGCTCCAGATGTGGTGCAGCACCCACCAAATTGGGAGGGGATCCCTGGAGGTTGGGGGAGACAGAATACTGGAGGGGAGTGACTAAAGTCCCGGGTTCAGTTTCCAGTAGTGTCTTCCCCAGTCCAATGCCCTCCCAGCTCCCCAATTCCCTGACTATTAATTGGCTGTGCTGGCTGGGCTCGGTGGGAATCAAAGCCCAACATACCTAGAGAGTACCTGCTTGCAAAGCCTGCTTTAGCATCTCTTGTTGGATTTATCTTGGGTGCTGCCCCACATTCCTTGAAAGCCTTTGCTTACGCTGGTTTAGAGTGAGCCAGTGTACGGGCCCAATGGGAAACTGCTACTTGTTTCTGTATGCCCCAGGTCAGCTGCCCCCCACGCACAAGCAAACTAGAGGTGAGAAAACAAATTTCCAGGGACCAGCCCTTTAGGGCTTTTCATGCACAATAGTGTTTCGATACAAGATGCGACTGCGACAAACAGGTTGTACCTATGAGCAAAAGATACACTTCTCCCGAATCAAGTCTGGGGAGCACCTTCTTTTCATGGTAGAGGCAAGTCTTCTGCAGGATGCAATCTGCAGTTGTCCTTTTGTTTGTGTGTGTGGGGGGGGAATCAAGATACCTTCTACAGTTACTAGTTCTGAAGAGCCTACCTGGAGAAGGGAAGTTTAGGGGGCTGAAGAATGCCTGAACATTATTTGGGAGAGGTTGGCATTCAACACAAAATGAATAACAGAAAACTGGCAGATAGACTTGGAAACTGTAGCTCATGGCAGGTGAAAGTCCTGTTTTTATGCTTCGGATGCAGCTGAAGAAGGGACTGGCTAGTTGCTGATGGGAAAAGCTTTAAGCCATATAGCTCAGAACAAGTGGGCAATGGGAAATGAAAAATACATTGTATTGCTTGCGCAGGTCCTGAATTATGGCTGCTCCTCAAAGTGTCTTTTTCAATTAATAATGAGACTAGTCACAGAGATGTCATTATGTTCAGTGGGTGATTATTCAAATGAACGTGCCATGTTGTACCAAGAGATGCATTAGAACAGAACCTTAAATCAAATTTAGCAATTTCACTCTCATTAACATTAACAATAAGGAACGTTAATATGGTTATGTGGCTGCATAATTGAAATTAAGTCCCAGTTCATCCTGTTGCCAGACAGGAGCTTGAACTTGGGGCGGAGGCATCCTTTGGCGTCAGCTGGTTTTCAAGGAGCCTTCACTTATTTTGAAGTTAAGCATTGGGTTCGGCGGAGGGGAAGTCACATCATTTTGTATTTCATCTGGAAACTGAAAAAGAAAGAAAATAATGTCAGGAGGAGGAAGAGGGTACAGCTCACCGGTCGACATGCAAGAAGACTCCAGGTTCAGCCCTCAGTCCCTGAGATAGGGAAGGAGAGAGTCGATGCTGGAGTCTAGAGCAATGCTGTTGCTATTGCTTCTCGGTATATGGTTCGTCCTCCTTACGGATTGCTGCCTTGTCCTGGCAAAGTGGCTTGAGTAATTCAGAGAAGCTATGGGCTATGCCGTGCAGGGACACCCAAGACGGACAGGTCATGGTGGAGAGTTCTGACTAAACACAATCCACCTGGAGCAGGCTTTGGCAAGCCACTCCAGTATCTATGCCAAGAAAACCCCATGACCAGAAACAAAAGGCTAAAAGATATGACTCTGGAAGATGGGACCCTCAGGTCAGAAGGCGTCCAACATGCTACTGAGGAAGAGCGGAGGACAAGGACAGATAGCTCCAGAGCTAATGAAGTGGTTGGGCCAAAGCCGAAAGGATGCTCAGCTGCGGACGTGCCTGGAAGTGAAAGGAAAGTCTGATGCTGCAAAGAAGAATACTGCATAGGAACCTGGAATGTAAGCTGGATGTGGTCAAACAGGAGATGGCAAGAATAAACATTGACATCTTGGGCTTCAGTGAACTAAAATGGACGGAAATGGGCGGATTCAATTCAGACGATTATCATATCAATTATTGTGGGCAAAAATCTCGTAGAAGAAATGGAGTAGCCGTCACTGAATAAAAGAGTGGGAAAAGCTGTACTGGGATACAATCTCAAAAATGATAGAATGATTTCAATACGAATCCAAGGCAGACCTTTCAACATCACAGTAATCCAGATTTATGCACCAATGCTGAAGAGGCTGAAATTGACCCATTCTATAAAGACTTACAACATCTTCCAGAACTGACACCAAAGAAAGATGTTCTTCTCATTATAGGGGAATGGAATGATAAAGTAGGGAGTCAAGAGATAAAAGTAAGTTTGGCTAGAGCTGATTGTGGCTCTCATCATCAGCTTCTTATAACAAAACTCAAAGCTTAAACTGAAGAAAATAGGAAAAACCACTGGGCTATTCAGATATAAACTAAACGAAATCTCTTACGAATACACTGTGGAAGTGAAGAACAGATTTAAGGAACTAGATTTGGTGGACAGAGTGCCTGAAGAACTATGGATGGAGGCCCGTAACATTGTACAGGAGGAAGCAACAAAAATCATCCCAAAGAAAAGGAAATGAAAGAAAGCAAAGTGGCTGTCCAACGAGGCCTTAGAAATAGCAGAGAGGAGAAGGGAAGCAAAATGCAAGGGAGATAGGGAAAGTTACAGAAAATTAAATGCGGACTTCCAAAGTTTAGCAAAGAGAGAGAAGAGGGTCTTCTTAAATGAACAGTCCAAAAAATAGAGGAAAATAGTAGAAAGGGGAAAACCAGAGATCTGTTCAAGAAAATTGGAGATGTTAAAGGAACGTTTTGTGCAAGGATGGATTGCTGACTTTGAGCCAGATACCCTGTAGAATGAAGTCAAGTGGACCTTAGAAAGCATGGCTAACAGCAAAGCCAGTGGAGGTGATAGCACTCCAGTTGAACTGTGAAAAATATAATGCTGTTAAGGTGCTATACTCAATATGCCAGCAAGTTTGGAAAACTCAGCACTGGCCAGAGGACTGGAAAAGATTAGTCTACATTCCAATCTCAAAGAAGGACAGTGCCAAAGAATGCTCCAACTACAGTACAGTTGCTCTCATTTCACATGCTAGCAAGGTTATGCTCAAAATCCTACAAGGTAGGCTTCAGCAGTATGTGGACCGAGAACTCCCAGAAGTACAAGCTAGATTTTGAAGGGGCAGAGGAACTAGAGACCAAATTGCTAACATGCGCTGGATTATGGAGAAAGCCAGAGAGTTCCAGAAAAACATCTACTTCTGCTTCATTTATGCGAAAGCCTTTGACTGTGTGGACCACAGCAAACTATGGCAAGTTCTTAAAGAAATGGGAGTGCCTGACCATCTTATCTATCTCCTGAAAAATCTATATGTGGGACGGGAAACAAGAGTTAGAACTAGATATGGAACAACTGATTGGTTCAAAATTCGGCAAGGAATATGACACAGCTGTATATTGTCCCCTGGCTTATTTAACTTATATGCAGAATACATAATACAAAAGTCTGGACTGGATGAATCCCAAACCGGAATTAAGATTGCCAGAAGAAATATCAGCCACCTCTGATATGCAGATGATACCACTCTGATGGGAGAAAGTGAGGAGGAATTAAAGAATCTCTTAATGAGGGTGAAAGAGGAGAGTGCAAAGAGGTCTGAAGCTCAACATCAAAAAAAAAAAATGTTGACCACTGGTCCCATCAGCTTCTGGCAAATAGAAAGGGAAGATATGAAGGTAATGACAGATGTTATTTTCCTGGACTCCATGATCACTCCAGATGGTGACAGCAGCCATGAAATTAAAAGACGCCTGCTTCTTGGGAGTAAACCAATGAGAAACCGAGACAACATCTTAAAAAGCAGAGACATCACCTTGCTGAGAAAGGTCCACATAGTCAAAGCTATGGTTTTTCCAATTGTGATATATGGAAGTGAGAGCTGGACCATGAGGGAGGCTGACCGTCGAAGAATGGATGCTTTTGAATTGTGGTGCTGGAGGAGACTCTTGAGAGTCCCCTGGACTGCAAGGAGAACAAACCTATCCATTCTAAAGGAAATCAACTCTTGAGTGCTCCCTGGAAGGACAGATCCTGAAGCTGAGGCTCCAATCCTTTGGCCATCTCATGAGAAGAGAAGACTCTCTGGAAAAGACCCTGATGTTGGGAAAGGGTGAAGGCAAGAGGAGAAGGGGACGGCAGAGGATGAGATGGCTGGACAGTGTCATCAAAGCGATCAACATGAATTTGACTAAACTCCGGGAGGCAGTGGAAGACAGGAGGGCGTGGTGTGCTCTGGTCTGTGGAGTCACAAAGAGTTGGACACGACTTAATGACTAAACAACAACAAATACGTTTGGTCAGTTAATACGGTGAGACAGTGGGCAGCAGCTTTGTGTCCCTGTGTCGTTTGGCGCTAGTAACTGGCTTCCTTGGGCAGCAGCTTAGGGCTCTTGCCCCCTGGCCCAGCTGGCCTTGCTGCCAGTGTGGATTTGATTTTGGTCACAATTTAAATCACAATTTCAATTTTTTTAAAAATGGATTAATGATTTAAATTTTTAAAAAATTATTTTTGGTTTAAATCATAATTAAAATTTGATTGATTGATTGTGCTCAGATACCAGCCCATTAGTGCACAACCCTCTTCTGGGCAGCTTAAGATAAAAAGAGCAAGATAAATAAAAACCTCTAGCATAAAACTACACCAAAAACCTAACGTAGTTTTTATCCACCCTGCTTGCCACCATGTTCTCCACCTTCCACTCCTGGCCTGGCAATCACAGGGATCTATTGATCATTTCTAATTTATTTGTTGTACCTATATTTTAGTTTACCTCCAATAATATCAAAGGAATACATGTGGCTCCCCCTTTTCCAGTTTATTTCTCCCACTGGCCTTGTAAGGTAAGTCAGATTCATGGAGTATGGACTGCCACCCAGCAAAATTCATAGTCACAGCAGGATTTGAACACAAGCCTCCCGAGACCTAGTCTATCACTCTTTAACCATTATATCACAGTGGCCCCCTGTAAACTCTTCCATGTTCCCTCATCCTAGTGTTGGCTTGAGGCACTGTGGTGAATTAAACATTTGCATGAGACTAGCCAGGTTCTTGGAGTGGATGTCATAGAAATCCAGAGCCCAGCAGTACAGAAGAAGCCTTTTAAGCATGCTTTGTCTAGCTTGCCCTGGTGGTTTCAGCTGACTCTTTTTAAACTTAAGGCCTGTCTGCTTTCTAAAAACCAGCATTTAGTCAAAAGCTGCGTAAAACTCAGGCTGAAAAAGCTACTTTAAGGGACTACGGTTTCCAGAATCTCCCAATCTGTATGGCCACTGGGAGCTGTAGTACAAAAAAAACCCCTCTAGTACAGTGGTGCCTCACTTAACGACAATAATCCGTTCCAGGAAAATCGCCGTTAAGCAAAAACATTGTAAAGCCAAAAAACAAAAAAAAAACCCATTGAAACGCATTGAAATCCGTTCAGTGTGTTCCAGTGGGGTAAAAACTCACAGTCCAGCGAAGATCCTCCATAAGGCAGCCATTTTCGCTGCCTGTATAGTGAGGAATCCATCCCTAAACACAGCGGGGAGCCATTTTAATTACCTGGCAGCCATTTTGAAACCGCCGATCAGCTATTAGCAAAAGGTCGTTTTGTGAAGAATCGGTTCCCGAAGCAGGGAACCGATCATTGCAAAGCGAAAAAAACCCATTTAGACCATCGTTTTGCGATCGCAATTGTGATCGCAAAACGATAGTCGTAAAGCGGATTCGTCGTAATGTGGGGCAATCGTAAAGCAAGGCACCACTGTAATAAGATATGCAAAATGGTAATCCTATTTGAGTGGAAAAATTTAATTCCAGCTGCCGAAGAGTGCCATTTATTGTGGTATGTGTCATATGGCAATGTTCTCCCCACTCCCTTTCCCCCCTGTAATGAAATGCAAAATAGTTCCGTTTCTCCAAATGCTCAAAGAGGAGAGGGAGGTCTTCCTGACTGTTTCCAACGTCACATTGACTTTTCTGATTCAAGCCCCTTATTTCTCTCTCTTTTTTTGTCCCTGCCCCACCCACCCCCACCCTGCTCCAAACAGATCTGGGTAAGGAAAACCAGCGACAGCACAAAGATGAGGATCTACCTTGGCCAGCTCCAGCGAGGGGCGTTTGTGATCCGCCGGCGGTCGGCCGCATGACTTTCTGCCTGGGCATCTCTGATGTGTTAAAGACAATCGGCTCTTGACGGAGACTTTGTGGTTGCTGTTGCTCTTTCCGGGTTTTACTGGTAGAAGACATTGCTTCCCCTGGCCCTTCACGAAGCTGTCTGTATGCTTCCCACATGGTTCCGGTCATCCTTGTCTCTCTTTGTGAGCTGAAGCAAGGCCCCGGAGCCTGACCTGAGGCTTTCGTTTCGCTTTCTTTTCCCCCAAAGACTCCTAAAGGAGAAGAGCTGCCAGTATTCTCAACTCGTTCCATGCTTAGGACATGAAAAAGGATGCGCCCGGTATCTTAGCCTCTGCGGCGTGACACCAGCACAATATCCCAGTGGGGATTTAACATCCAAGAGGCCATGAATTGAGGAGGACGTGAATCTGACTGTAATGTATGTTTCAAAAGCTAGCGTGTGATATTGCTGACTGAGAAGGGCCTACAAGGAAGTTGTTAGCATGAGTTCGTGTGCAGGAGCCTGACATTTCCATTGCATTTATAAAAAAACATGGTGAAGCAATCTCCCTTGGTTACTTCAAAGCTCCTGGGAAGTGGGGTGGGTGGGAGAGAGGGAGGGTGGGTGGAATGCAGCCTGCAGAACCTGCTTGCATAGCCACCTATTGGACATGGAAAGGGATATTTCTGTTTTTTTTTAAAAAAAAATATTGTTTCTCATAGAGGATGAATCCAAGAAATGTCTGGTTCAGGGAAGGTGGCTCTGTGGGCAGAATGGCATGATGATGGCCATCGGCTGTGGACTGTATTGCAGAATCGAACTGCTCCCTGTGGCAGTTGTGAGGGTTCATCATTACCCGGGCAGTGGCTGGTCTTCTTTTCAAATGACGTATGCCTGCCAAGACCTAGAGATGAGAACCGAGGGTACCCAAAAACCCAAGGAGAGTGTCAACTTGCGGAGCGGTTTGCTGTTCATTTGGCCCATATGGTGCTTCTAAAATATTTATCTCTCTGATCATTTGCACAGTTCAGGCCGCCCTACAGCTGGGCCTATGAATGCCTCGTCCCTGCTTCCACCTGGGGATGGTGTGGTGTTCCCAGTGTCTTGCTGTGGACACCTTCTGCTTCAGCACACTCTTGATTCCGTACTACAAGCATGTACTACATCAAGTTTTCTTTCCTTTCCCATCCACTGCAGCCAGATGGCAGCCAGGTCTTGGCAATTACATCTGTGTTCTGAATGGCCAAGTTGAGTTGAGGGTTCCCATTTTAGCAGCTAACCCTGTTTGGTGCTTGTATTTCCTCCTTGCCCCCCCACCCTAATCCCCCATCGAATGCTCGTATGTCTGTAGAAGCCCAGCTATAGAATAAACTCTCCTCTTCGAGACAGTAAGAAATCCATTGTATGCCCATCTCCATCTGGTGCCAGCCGTCCTTTTATGCAAGGAAAGTTACCTGGTTGGTGAGGAGACCTCTGGCCTGCAGATGTTTTAAGCTACCATTCCTATAATCCAGAGTTGGGCAAAGGCAGAGCTCCAGATATTGGAGATGCATCTCCTATCAGATCTAGCCAGCGTAATGAACAACAAGACCTGCTGGGAATGGCAGCCCAACATCTGCAACGTTATATTTTTCTGTGTTTGATGTAGTTGCCCACACAGGACGGGACTACTGGGGAGTTGCAGTCCAAAACATCTAGATGGCTGAAGATTCCCCATTCCTAAATTATATTCAGTTCTTCAAAAAATCCTCCAGTTTATGAATGTGGGATAGTGTGCTTCTTTATGGATGATTCAAAACGCCAAGAAATGGCCCAGTATTGTTGCGCCCACAGTGCCAGTGGGGAAAAGGATGCCAAATTTGACATAACAAAGGGTTATGGACGATTCAAAACGCCAAGAAATGGCCCAGTATTGTTGCGCCCACAGTGCCAGTGGGGAAAAGGATGCCAAATTTGACATAACAAAGGGCAGCCTGAATGTCATCAGGCAAGATAGTCTACAAGATTCCTTCTTGTACTCACTACCATTTCATCTAGTCATGTGTGCCTCCATCAATAAGATACCCAGAGAACCTATTGCAAAAACAGCCCTGACAGTTCCTCTGTTTTTGGATGAGAGGTGATTAACTGCTGAAACGAATCATGTTCTGAGATTTTCCCCTTCTTAGTGTCACACTTGGGTAGTGTGTTGTGGGTGATGTGCCCTGGGAGATTACTTGTGTTGCAGTGGCAAAAGTGATCACGGAACACCCTGTGTAAGATACCCAGAGAACCTATTGCAAAAACAGCCCTGACAGTTCCTCTGTTTTTGGATGAGAGGTGATTAACTGCTGAAACGAATCATGTTCTGAGATTTTCCCCTTCTTAGTGTCACACTTGGGTAGTGTGTTGTGGGTGATGTGCCCTGGGAGATTACTTGTGTTGCAGTGGCAAAAGTGATCACGGAACACCCTGTGTGCAATGCACTCTTTGTGAATGGGTAGTGTGTTGTGGGTGGTGTGCCCTGGGAGATTGCTTGTGTTGCCATGGCAAAAGTGATCACGGAACACCCTGTGTGCAATGCACGACTTTGAGGAAGCATCTCTCGGAACCGGGCATTTTGAATGTGTCCTGCATTGTAGAAAGCAGTACTGGTTGCTTTGTAAGAAACAGGCACTGCTTTCTGCCGATCCAGTCCGCTCGCTGTCTGCCTCTTGGAGTGAAACAAAGAGCAGTTCGTGGCGGCGGCTTGTCAGTGTTTCCCCTGCCTTTGCCTGTGGCAAATTTTGGACCTCTTGCTGCGAAGTTCTTGGAGTGAAACGAAGAGCAGTTTGTGGCGGCTGTCAGTGTTTCCCCTGCCTTTGCCCGTGGCAAATTTTGGACCTCTTGCTGCGAAGTATGCTTATGTGCCAACGATGGACAAAGATGTGGCCTCTAGATATTGTGGGTTGCAGTCCCCATTTGCCCTAAGCAGCATTGCTAATGGGGAGCACACTGGGAGTTGCAGTCCTGCTACCCTTACTATCAGCAGTTCTCCTGTCCAGTGGTGCCTCGCTAGACGACGATAATCCGTTCCACTGAAATCGCTGTTTAGCGAAATCATTGTCTAGCAAAAAGCATTTCCCCATTGGAATGCATTGAAACCTGTTTAATGCGTTCCAATGGGGAAGAATCGTCGTTGTCTAGTGAAGATCGGCCATAGGAAAGCCGCTTTGCGAACTGCCAATCAGCTGTTTAAATCGTCGTCTTGCGAAGCTTAGGTCCCGAAAACACCTGTTTGCGAGCACAGAGGGAGCTGTCAAAATCGTCGTCTAGCAAAAATCGGTTTGCGAAGCAGGGACCAAACATTGTCCAGTGAAATTCCCCCATAGGAATCACTGTTTTGCAAATCGGTATAGCGATTGCAATAAGCCAATGTCTAGCAAAAAACTGTCACGCGGGGCAACTGTCTAGCGAGGCACCACTGTATTACTTGGCAGCTCTTAATGGGATGGGAGCACATATCTTAAGAAGACAAGGTCTGCTGAAGGGCAAGTGGGTGAATGGGCGATTGTTGAAATGTGACTTTCCTGTGGTGCTTCAAACTATTTGAACAGCTGTTACAGTCAGCTGGGGGCTTCTGATCCTGTCATGGCTGGTTCACGTGTTACTGTCCTCCTAACTTGCTTGACAGCCAGCTTTGTTCGGGGCTGCTGTGCCTTGTAATGTTGATCAACCAAGGGGTTAAGAAGAAGAAAAAGCACAGCTGGACAGAAACGAAAACTGCTGCAGTTTTGGGATATGTTCCGTTCCCCCCCCCCATGGGACTTTCTTGTATCTTCAGAGATGACTTTACAATCATGCTGCTTTATAGACAAGGGTTTCTGAAAATTCTGATTCACACCATTCTCTTGGGGGTTGGAGCAAAGATTCTCTCTTTTTTAATGAGATTCGGAAACTGGCAATCACATTTCTGTCAGTGCAGCGTGGGAAGAAAAAAAAAACCAGTGTTGCTTTCCTTCAGACAGGGCACAAAACAAGGCTGAATTCCTCCTTGGCTCAGTTCGTTTGCTGGCACAAACCCCGCCAGGGGTTAACTGGGTGCTGAGAAAATGATACAAAATTTTGTGCCAGGATCAGACAACTTCGGATGTGCCAGGAGGATGTGAATCAATAAAGCGCCAACAGATTTGCAGCATAAGCATCTTTTGATGGTTTGTTTTCTGATCGTGATTGTGGATAGCGTTTCAGGGCTGGCAGAGTTTTGAGCCATGTGCTGGTTGGGGGAATGGGAGGCGCAGCATGGCAAGTGCGTTCCATGTATTGGAGATGGCAGCTTGTAAAAGTCGAAGGTGGCCATCAGAACCAAACCCAGAAATCTGAAAATCCACTTTGGTTGGGCGAGGTTCCTTTTGTTTCCTGTCCCTCGGAGTAGCAGACGTGGTCCTTCCTTGCCCATTTTATCCTTGCAAGAGCTCTCTGCTAAAAGATGACTAGTGTCTCATGGGCCACTCATGCAGTTTGACGGCTGAGTGGAAATTTGAGGCCGAGTGTCCGTCCACCTTCATTCTATTCTCTCCTCCTAGCTACGGTTCCCTTCCACTTTCAAGGCAGGTATCTGTGCTCCAGTTCTGTGCAAGCATCATTTGTGGTTCTGGCTGCAGAATTCATCTTCCTGGAAACCGCTGGCTTCCATTTGAAACCAGTGCGAGATTCTAGCTCTTATTTGCAAAGGTGTCATAAGCTGTTCTGCAGCTTTGACTGATGACTCCTTAAAAGCCAAATCACATGAGGGGGGCAGGCAGGCATCCAGTGCCCTCTCCCTCTGGCTGACAAAACATGAATATATTATGCAGATGAATTTGCTTTGCATAATTGATACAGGTAGTAGCATCCACCTTTTCTTGATGCCAAGTTTGGCTTGCTGGAATTCAAGTTTTTAGCATTAGTGCAGAGTACACTTTGCCATGATTTTAATGTGGCTCTCTTCTCTTGAAATGGATGGTCCTACAAGCTTTACTGTTATCTTCTTTCTTTTATATACTAGGGTTTATTTTCAGGTTAGGTCTTATTTTCGGGGAAACAGGGTAGCAAAGTTACTTCCATGGTATAGAATCCCTTACAACTGGTGGTGATACAGGGAGGCAGTAGATGAATGTTTTTGAAAAACCAGGTGTATCATGCAAAGTTGGAAAGGGCTTCCATGGGACGTAAGAGTTACCAAGCATTAACCATCTCTTTACCTTGAGTAAAAATAAGGTAAGGAGTGCTATTCATACTTGTCCATAGCTCTTTCCGAGTCGCTGACTGAGTGCTTTCTGACCTGGGAGTTCCACTTTCCAGCACTATCGCTTGTGTCATTTTGGACCGTCTTATCATAGAGTCTTCAAGGTATGAAAAGTTCAGCAGTAGTTTACCATCGCCTTCTGTGCAATACTAACACAAGTGTGCTCGGGTGTCACTGCCGTTGTCTTTGAAAGATCCTCTGCCAGTGTCACCTTCAGCTACCTGCTGCTGCTCTCCAGACATTTCTTTGCCTGCTGTGTTGCTGAAACTACTCCTCTCTTCTGCTGATGCAGCCGTTACTCCTGAAGAGGGTGGATGCC